AATTTTGCGCAATACATCCGTTTCAATTTATAACCAAGGACACTAACGAGTTAGATTTGAGTTAAAAAATGAAGTTGCTTTGAACTGAGCAGCTTTTTAAAAGTAACTTGTTACTTAACGAATACAATTTTTAATAAAAATAATCGGAAATATAATTGTGGAAATGTTGACAGCACTATTTTTATATTTAAACAGGGAACAAAATAACGTACACAAATATGGCTTCATGTAAATATCATAAAAGTGTTCACTAAAAAAACATACATTAACCTGCTCCCTGGTTCGTCACGAACATTAATTTCCACAAAGACTTAAATACACCAACGCTCTCGCAAAAAACCAATTCTCATTATCTCTAAGTTAATCCATCACAAAAATTCTCTTTAAAGTATTTATCATCTCCATCAACCCCCGATAACCCCTTGAGACGTCTTAAACGAAAATGGTCAGACACCTTCTAATTTAATCTGACGGGTGGCACTACTGAGTACTTTCCCGAATCTGTTATTTCTGTTATTATGTACCCAAACAAAATTACTTATTGTACTGATATGTATAGATTGTAATTATATTATTAATTTCTTTCATTCGACAGAAATACAATATTGTCGTTTCATTATGTAACATTTTTGGTTCTACGATTTCTTGCAAGCAATATCAAATCTATGAGCACAATGTTCCGCCATGATTTCCACGGAGTGTACGTGCAACACAGTCGAAGCCTACGTGAATTTACGTCAGTTGTGTACTCTAAAAGAACGAACACGACATGGCCGTGTATATTTAACATCGAACACGAACGATATATAGGTACGAGACCACGAATAAAAAGTAAACATGGAATCGACAAAGACCTGTGCAACCGATGCGATTCGATATGTATGTGTAATACCCTTATACTACCCTTATTGGTAGTCACACAGATTATTCAAACTTCGAATTAAAAACGTTGTTCCGTTTGAATCGTTATGTTGTCGCGCAGCAAACGCTGTATACAATATAGTACACAATATTTTGAATGGGAAACAACGTGAACTGTACAATTGAAATAATAGTATAGATTTTCGTTTTGCTAACGAGATTTAGTAACAAAATACTATACGTGTTCGATTCTATTGGATTTTTCACAACGGCTGTAGAACGAAAAATTAAAAGCCGATTGAAAAGTGTAATGCTCGGAGTAAGATAACTGTCGACCGTTGTTTAAACAACGAGTATAAAGATGATGAACCATATGGTGCGCGTGAAAAATAATGTATTGATGTAAAATACGAGTATTGTACGCGTACACCACGTGCACGATGACGGTGTGTTGAAATTATGGTAATAAATCAATCGACAATCATTTTCACTAACGATCTACGGTGTGTTACACTTGCTCCAGTGTACACTATCGTAAATTAAGTGCGGACAGATATTACGACCTGACCTGTCGATAAACGTTATCGGCAATCAGGTGGTAAGCTCGTCACAATACTCTGTTACGTTTCAGTTTAATGGCTAATAAACGCGGATACACGTATACAAACATAATTCTCACTTGTACAAACAGTAGCAACGATTGGAAAACGGTATATTGTATCCTGCGTGTAACCGAATTGTTCTTCGATATGTACACTAAACTAAACGGTGATTGTATGAAATGTTGATTTTTTTTTATCGTCCAAATTAAGCATAGAAAAAATTACCGATTTCGATCCGTACATCACGTCCGTAACTGTTCGAATGACTTGTTTTAACCAGCAATCTACAAATAATATAATGGGTAAAAAAATATTATATAAAAATAATATATAAACGATGACCCTTAAAATAATAGATGGAACATAAAAACGATGAGCACCCTATTAAAAACGAACAAATAAAAAATAATAACAACAATAAACAAAAACATTCGGTTGTTTAAATGTCATAAGAAAAATGAATCCTGAACGCGCGTAATGATATTATTTATCGTGTTGCGACACGGTATACATTTACAAGGGTTAATTAATTTAAAAATTTCTATCCACGAGAGATTTAAAACTCAATGACAAACCGATGGAACCACATAATAATTTATGTACCGTTACAGTACTTTATTATTGACACTTCGACCAGTAGAGATGAAACCATCACTGCGATGCTTGTAAGCATTTCTTCGAAAAAAAAACAAAATCTGCTGTTAATTGTACAAGGCCGGCGACTACCTTTTGAACGATGAAAATATTATATTCAAATATATAATAAAATAAATTAATGGTACGCTACAAGTACGCGTTCGTTTTGGCATTCGACAGAAGTTATTTTTAACGGTGTTCGATCAACTTAAGTACTTGGGATTTTTCGTGAAAAACACGTAGCTTTTATTGAAATTTTCTTTGATTTTTTTGATACTTTTGAAAATTTTGAACAAAGAAAACCGTACACCGTACACAGTAAAATTTTGAAAGTATACTCGAGCTCGTATAATTCGTGCAGTTTTCGAGTAAAACTTGAATCGTTCTTAAGATTTCTCAAACGAGTCAAGTCGCATTACACGCACGGGTTTTCGTAGCCTCAATCACCGAAACTTCAATCAGAACGTGTACGGCTGGTATACCCTCGTTAATCACAACAATACACTCGTACGTAGGTCCGTCGAGAGGGGGAGGGGGCAGCTAGGGCTGTAAGCAGGATGCGGGCTTCAAAAAAGGCCCAAACCCTTCCTAAGTTAACTACGTCTTGGTCAAGGTGTCGAGCTATTTATAGATCACCAACATGAATCGTGCTAATAACCTACTCAAATAATTGTAGCGTACTCAGTCGTAAGGAGTCTACAATAAAGTGAACACTACGATATCGATCCAAAACGTAGACAAATAATATTTTCAAGAAAGACCCATAGGCAGTAAATAATTGTTTTCATATAGTCCGCGGAATAACCGTGACTGCGATCATGTTATCTTTTTGGTATACTCGTTGTAAAAGAAGACACTGGATGTCAGTGGCGAGTTTAATACCTCGTGTGAGAAAGGCGTGGATTTATTCGTCTCCAGGGCTCTTGATTTCTCCTAACCCTGCCTGTACGTACCTGGTACAGGTGTTTTGCAAGGCGTTCGGATGACATGATAGTTTTGCACCTTTCGTGCGCACGTTGGGCTTGGCACACGGATCCCCGTGACCGTTTCCGGCGCAAAAGATCTATTTACTCGTTATCCTGTACACGGGGCACGAACCGATACGGGTAAAAAAGTGTGTTCTCGTGAAACTGCGTACATTAGTGTGATTATCTGCGCAAGACTCACGCGCTTCACCTTAATGTGACCGTTCTCCACGTGGATAGAAACGCTCGAGGAGGAAAAATTTATAAGACGTTTTCCGTGTCGAATGAATGTTAATTTCGCTTGAGAAACGTTTGTTTTTTAAATTTTTTTTTTTTTTTTATTTATTTAAATCTAGTACAAGAAAACAAAAGAAATATTACTAGAAGTTAATTTACACTGAGGAAAAACGTCGTGTCGTAGAGTAAGAGTACTTATTAGTTAGTGAAATACAATGAAGTTTAAATGTTTTTATGCTAATAGAGAAAAAAAGGGAGGAGAGAAAAGTAAAATCACACAGTTAATTTTAAAATAATTGTATATAAGAATTAAGTAAACAATAGAATATATATAATATATGAAAATATTCGTGCACTGTATGTTACGTAACGGGTTCGTTTTCAAAATTCCAACATAACGTAGGTCACGTGGTTTTTGACCAGTGGAGCACAATAATTATTGCAATTATTGCCAAGCCCGGATTAAGAGGGGTCCAGGGGGGGACCTCGGCCCCGGGCCTCGATAGTTGGAATTTATTTAGGGGCCTCAAATTTACCTATTACTTTATTCATTTTAAGGTATAACATAACATAATTTACCTAAAAATAAATTGATGATAAATTATTATTGCCGACGACATTATTAAATATCAATTATGTCAAATAAACTCTTATAATAATTTATAATAATATAAATAATATACATAAGGTACTAAAATGTATAATGTGTATAATACCTACCCGCATACCTACATACATCAGTAATCGCTTGCCGAGGCCCATCTATCAATTGAACGAGCAAAAGCTATTTTTATACAACACGTAAATACCAAATTTGTTGTTATCTGTTATCGTTTATTCGTTTTAACTTTTGTTTAATGTTTAATGGCTTAATTTTTTGATTTTTTTATTCTCTTTTCATATTTTAAAAATGTAAAGATATTTTGAAAGTGGTTCTTCAAAACGAAAAAGAAAAGAAAAATAGCAAATTAAATCGAATAAGTAAAGAGGATTAATGAGTAATTATGTTTTAAAACTAGGTAAATATTTTTATTTTGTATATTTGTCTGAATAATCATAATACAATTTAATGTATTAAACAAATATACAATAATATTACGAAAATATAAATTGCATTTGTTTATGTCAGAAAGAAAAAAATATTGCTTATCATAAACACAGAGATTTAAATTGTATATTAGTTTTGAGAATTATTGATGATGTCTTACATTAACTTACTATGGTACTGTTACTATAACTTATTATATAATTTGCAGTGTCATAATATTAATTTACATTCACTTTTAAAAAAATAATTTTACCAACTTGGCCATACATTTTAAGTTAAAAATGACAAATAAAAAATACATGAACATAAAATATGCATTTACTGTAGTAAATGCATTTATTACATTTATATCTGAAATTATATAGCATGTAAAGTTAAAAATGACATTACTGTAGTAAATGCATAATGTATGTTCATGTATTTTTAAATGTAGGAACACAAAATTTAATATTGTTTTGCATTTATTTTAGGTATTGACAACCAAGTTTAAAGTGTGTCTGTACATAGGAAAACAGTTTTAAATGAACAAAGTAATGTTAATCAATCAAATCAAAATGTTTTGTTATTAACTGAAAATTATCAAAGTAATACATTTAAAAAACATATTTAGCTTTAAATTGTACTATATTTATGTGTTTGTGTTTATTTTAGGTATTGATAACCAAGTTCAAGATGTGTCTGTACATAGTGAAATAGTTTTAAAAAAACAAAGTAAAATTAGTGATAATACTTTAATAAAATATGTTGATTTATAAACTTATTTTATTGTAGGTATAAAACTTGAGTCGACAAATATTACAGATCTGGTTTCTGTCATAGTATTTAACAAGTATAAAATAAGTGATCCATACTACTGGCCTGAAAAAATAAATGACAATTTCAGAGAATACTGTATTCAGATAGGACCCGAGTTTTTTCAAAATAAGAATGATGATTTCAAACATTCTGCGCGTTTATATGGTATTTTATTTATATTCAATGAGTTTTATTTAACCAATAATGAATACAATTATTTTATTTTTGTATACTTAGATCACAAAAGGTTATTTTCGGCCTCCATGTTTAAATGAACTCTACCCAATGGAGAAATTGGTGATCGAAAGTGGGTAATGTACTCAATCAAACAAGGATCAATTTATTGTTTTATGTGTACATTTTTTTCGAGTCATTTAAATAGTCCTTTTGTTAGCAAAGGATTTGATAATTGGAAGAAATATGAGAAATTAATACAACATGAAAACAGTATTTATCATAGAAGTGCATTTACAAAATGGCTATTACGTTCAAATGTTAATTATTCAATAAATAAATATATATTGGAACAATTATCAATGGAGACAAAATACTGGAATGATGTTTTAATTCGTATAATTTCTGTAATTACATTTCTTACATCTAGAGGTTTATCATTAAGAGGTGATAATGAAGTATTTGGTATTATTAACAATGGAAATTTTCTTAGCATATTGGAATTTATTTCTAAATTCGATCCATTTTTAAAATCACACATAGAAGGGCACGGTAATAAAGGAAAAGGATATCCTTCGTATCTTTCTAAGACCATATGCAATGTAATAATAATTTTATTACAAAATAATGTTATAAATTTGATATTAGCTCAAATAAAAGAAGCAAAATGTTTTTCTTTTATCATCGATCCACTTCAGACCAATCTAAAATAGATCAAATAGCTATTGTAATTCGGTACTGTACATTAACACGTTTTCATGAAAGATTAGTTAATTTAAGTTCTATCAAAAGCCATAAAGGTGAATCAATATTTGTTGTTTTAGAAGAATTTCTTGAAAAAGTTAAACTTAATATAGTGAATATAGTGTCATATGACAATGCCTCCAACATGAGTGGAAAATATGAAGGATTACTAACTTATGTAAAAAATAAATGCAATTTGGCTGTTTATATGCCTTGCACTGATCACTTCCTGAATCTTGTTGGTGTTTATAGTGTTGATTGTTGTATAGAAGTAGTCAGTTTTTTTGGATTTCTACAATGTACATTCAATTTTTTTAGTGGATCTACTCATAGATGGGACATTCTGACCAATAATTTATATAAAAATTTGAAAGAACGATTACTTGTACTGAAATCCCTTAGTCAAACTAGATGGTCCTGTCACTCTGATTCTTGTCAAGCACTTACTCATAATTATATAAAAATAATAAAAGCTTTAAAATGTATCAGTGAAAATATTAATGAAAATAGAGACTCAAAAAGGAATGCTAAATTGATTTTAAAACAAATTAAAAAAAAAGAAACTGTATATTTATCTTTTTTGTGGAATGATATATTGAATAGGTCTAATGAGACATCTATAAATCTACAAGACAGTTTTTGTGACCCGTTGATTGCTTTGAATTTACTAAAATCATTGAAAAATTACATTTTAAATTTAAGAAGCAGTAGTGAAATTTATGAAAATAAAGTTATTGAACTTGGTCCAGAAATTAATAGTCTTTACCATGATGATGGAAGAAGAACATAAAAAAAAAACGTAAATTTTTGTGGTTTAAATAATACTGAGTTGCAACGTAGTAATAAGTTTCGAATTGAAACTCATAACATAATCATTGATACATTTTGTTCTGAATTAGACAAACGAATTGAAATTTATAAATTTGTTTCAGACAATTTTTTATTTGTTACAAAGTTGTGTATTCCATTTTTTGGCACTATTTATGAAAATAATGATATTAAACAAAGTATTGATAACTTTATATTGACCTACAAGAAAGATGTAATGTTTACATAAAAAATGAAATAAAACAATTTCAAGAGTATTTTTTCTTATGCATACCATCAACTAAAGATTATGAAAATTTTAGTATATATCTTTGGAAATGGCTTAATGAAAATTAATTAATTTATGTTTTTCCCAATTTATATATTGCACATAAAATGTATTTAACCATACCAAGTACAAACAATTCAGCCGAAAGAGCTTTTTCAAAACTTAATAAAGTCAAGAACAAATACAGATCAACATTAAACCAAGACAATTTGACTGCACTTATGATATTGGCATCTGAAAATGACATTCTTTAAACAATTAATAATGAAAAAATTATTAAAGAATTTTGTCAAACAAAAGCAAGAAAAAAAAATTGTTATAAATTACAATTTATAAAATAAAATGATACATTATTCATTATTTATTGCTATGTACCTATATATATATATATTATAATAGGTAGGTACATAAATATGATATACATTATATATTATATTACATATACATTATTTTTTTTTTCGTACTGGGGCCTCGTCAAAATTTTGGTCCCTGGGCCTCTAAATGTCTTAATCCGGGCTTGATTATTGCATACATTTATTTTTAGATCACCACTTTTTTAAACGAGTAAAATAAAACGCTATATTATTACATAGTATTTGAATATTTAATTAATAATGGGTCAAATAATTATTTTAACTCGTGTCCTGTATCTTTTAATATATTTGTGTGAGGACATTGGTTATGTATATGTATGTATAATATATTAAACTATACCAATTTCATTAAAATATTTATTTAACGACACAGCGGAAGAAAATATCAGATTCACGAAAGAATTTAATAAAAAAACGACAAAAAATGAAGTCCAATAGCAATACTTATTACTCTCGAAAGTTTTTATCCACACATTTTAGTTTTTACTACAATATTAAATAATTTAAAAACATAAAATAACATAAAACTAATTTTTCAAGTTTTCCAACACTTTAGAAAAATATAACCATCATTTAGTCGATAATATCTATCAAATGTAGAGTAAAAATAGTTTTAATGTTTTAATAAATCACAGTCTTCATATATTTTTTAAACTGTTTTTTGTTTCATATGAAATAATGGATTAATTGTAATTTGTAAAAAGTATGTTTTTCTATAACTTACGATTTAAAATTTTTTAGTTTTTAAAACAATTAAAATATAACAGATAAAATCCCTTCGGGCCATAATTTAACTCTATCGCGGAAAGGGTTGAGCAATCGAGTAAAAATGTCAGCAGAAATATTTTTTTTCTCATCACTTACACAATTAGGTAGGGAGGTATTAATTTTGAATTTTTTTAATCAATTTGTTTGGACCACCCTCGTATACAAGTATACGTGATCAATGGTGAGGAGAGATAATTTTTTTATTTTAAAGGAGATTTAAATGTAAAGAGTTTGGGAACCGTTGTAGTTTAGACGAAACGACTCGTATATACCGTGTGTTGTGACAGTAAAAAGCCTTTAGACACGTTTAAACGGTTAAGCATGTTTAAGTGTTTATATTACATATTATGTACATTGTACAACACGACTGTAAAATGTTACGACTGAAGTCACGCTCATATGACGCTTATCAGTTTTCGGATGACTTGCCGCCACTAGGAGAGATAGGTAATTCGGTATTATAATATTATCAGTGAATGTTTTGTAGGAATTGCAATGCATGTGCGCAGCGGTTTATGAGTAACATTGAAGTAAAAATAACATCGAATGGTTAGTATGAATCGTTGTGCGCGGCGGTCGTCATGACGTTTAATATGCTTTCACGGATTGATTGTGGAAGGAAAAAAATTAGATCTCGACTAGACCGCATTCGTTACTGGTGTGTTAATGGTAGCCGGAGAGACGTTGTTCCAGCCCACCTACAAACGGGTATCTCTAACATTATGCATAATCCAAGCATGCTTTTAATAATGGCGAAAATTATTGCATGAGAAGTTTAGATATTTTTAATATGGCTGTTGAAAGGGGTGGAGGGAATTGGAAACGTACATGTCGCAATACCTAATCGTTATAAAAATTAAAATATTGTATTTAAGAATGATCATCCCGGAACACTGATCGTCGCAAATACACATACGATAACTCAATACCGGTGTGCTTGCTATAGCTCTATTACTATAGTTATATTATTATACCATAGACCATATTCATATTTCCGACCGATTCGATGAGGTATTAAACTTAGTGAAATCAAAATTCAAAAAGATAAACACATTCAACGTAGTAATGATTGTTTTCAAGCACTAGATCTCCGGGTATAGATTCTAACAAAATTTTCTGTATTTACCAGAAAAAACAGTTATCATCTGCAATATCAGACATGTGTATTATACGTGGACTTATGTATGGCTGAAATTTACCAAAGACCTCACTAAAGATTTTAAGACATATCGGTAGCATGTAACAAAACCAAAACATGACCAGTACCTAGTTTTACAAACATTTTCCGATAATTGTGGAATAACAAAATTAAATTTTCCTCAGTTGTAGTAAATCTCCAGTGTGTAGAACTCATCGGAGTCTTGAGTTGCCAAATCAACCCCTCCCCCCACGATTTATACGATTATGACGCCGTGTTATTTGAAATCAAATAAAAATATTAAATCGATTCATCGCATAAGGGGATGGATTTTTAATCGCATGGACCGTAAACGGTGAAACTGATCGTTTGATAGTGCGCTGCTGTTATTCTGATGTATAACCAACTCGATCGTTCCTCTTGCGCTTACATTTCACTAGTTCATATCTATAGCATTACTAAAACGACCCTTCGACGGATTACGATATTATCGTTCAGACACCGAATCGGCAGTGTGCGCTATTAACATGGTTGTCGACGAAAATTAACGGTTAATAATTACACGAGCACATTGAAAACCGTCAACCTGAGACGAATAACAATGTATCGTAATATGGCACGCGTGTTTTATAGGTCGGTTAGGTTATGCGCGCGCGCGCACGTCGAGTGTCTCTCCGCGCAACGGAAGCTCCGAGGAAACGTTTGGACAGGCACACGCGACAATGTTTATCTGCAAACCCGTCGCGCTCATAATTGGATATCGGCCCGCGCTGTGCATAATATGCATGTATTATCGTGTATAATATCCGACCAGGTATTCCGCACTCGTCGTCGACTGCACACACAATATACGTACACGTAATAAACTATTATCATTACTCGTATTATTATTATTGTTATTATTACGACCGTGTACGTGTACAAGTATTTTCTGCGTACCGTACATACGTACACATATTTTTTATTGAAGCTTATTATTATTAGTCGTCGCACACACCATTACGGTTATTATTTTTATTGCGTACGGCAGGTTAGGCATTCGATATCGTTTCGATAACGTTACGGTCACAAATAACTTGACTAATTACCGCTGCGGCCTGCAGTTGGTCGGTACAGCTATTCCCAATAGCGTGCGCCGGTAAAAAGAACTCTTACCCGCTCGGTCTCTCTCGCGTCCGTTCGACGGATCGATTCACACAGCTATATTATACAATAACGCAACACAACGCGCGCAAAATACGCGTTCGACCCGTGAGAATGTGTTACGAATAACGTATGAAAATATTTCCACTCAACTTGACGTTTTCATATATTTTATTGCGTACAAATCGCGTGCACCGTTCGGCAACAGGTGTGCGCGCGCGCTGGCCAATGTTGATATTGGTGCGGTTTCCAAGCACGAGGTGACGACAAACGCGTCGGCGGCGGCGTCATTAATTTTTTTTTTTTTTTTTATCCCGTATTATTACGCGATGATATATGATTTCATTCAGTCCGCGAGAAGAACACGTCCTCTTCTCCACGCGCATGAATGGACGCCAAGAGGAATGCCGTCGGATAAAAAGGCCGAGTTCGCCTCGTCAATGACGGCGGTCACAATGAAATTGTATTCGTGAAAGCCGATCCCCCGTGAGAGACTCTTAACACGGTTTTATATTTAGTTACACTCAAAATATTAAGTGTACCCCTCGCGCTCGCGCGCGCGTCACCTATACATTTATGTACCCTTATGAAAATCCGTACGTTGTGTAGGTACACCGTCGGGTTATTTATCATATTTTTTCTTCTCCTTTGTACACACCGAAGGGTGCGCTTACCTTCCGTGTGTGTATATATATATATATATGCTAGTGCACAAGACGATACACATATATTATTATTATTATTATTATTATTATTATAATGTACCTCGTTCGGCAGCGGCGATAATGCAATACGTATTTTTGTACACAGATATGAATGCGTTTACGTATTATGTTTTATTTGTAAGCCCATATTGTTATTGTTCCTGCCGTCGTTAACTGCGCGCGGAACAATCGTTAAAAAAGAATCCTAATAACTGCCGAGTACAATACGATTAAATCGTAAAAATTATATATTATATTATTATTATTATTGCCCGCGCGTAAATCATTCGCGTGGAGGAAATAAAAAAGTCATTTTCGGTGGATAACAAATGAAAAAAAACGTCTTGTGCGCGCAGTTGTTAAACGACGTTTCTGTTCGATTACTCCGCGCCAACACCGTCGTCGCCGTCTCTTGTTGTCGCGTCACCGTCGTGATTTTCACACGATTCGTGAGACGAGTGCGTTTACGCGAATCTGAGCAATTATTCTCTTTATTTTTCAACGTGAACCCATCCGTTATTTATCCACACATTTTTAATATCCATTCGTATAATAAATATATACGTA